CACGCCCTCAGGTCCTGTCCTGCCTGGCTCGACTCTGGTCCTCTCACGCCCTCTGGTCCTGTCCTGCCTGGCTCGACTCTGGTCCTGTCCTCCCACGCTGGTTCCACGATCTTCTAGAACTAGTCCATTCTGCCCTCAACTCAGTCCATCATCAGTCCAAATCTTCGCTTTCTAAGCCAGTGAAGTATATATATCATAGTAGATAAGTTCATTCAAAATCAACTGAGGATCTGATTCTATTTATTGATGAAGCTGACAAAAAAATATAAAAAAATTCCACCCAAAATGATCAACTGTCAAAAAAAAAAAAAAAAACCCACAAATGACTGTTGTCCCTAGACAGTAATGTATATTATAAAAAATAAAAACCCTGAGCAGAAAGTTACGATTATGAAGTTGAACCCCAAAGGTCTCAAAGTTACTGCGACGTGTTTTAACGAAGGCTACTGCTAAAGCTTATTTTAACAAAACAGTCTTAAAGCCCAATGTCAATCAAAGGCTACAGATAAGCGCTAAGCAACAGTAATGGGGGAAAAAAAAACTGAACACGGAACGAGACCTACAAGAGGCCATCTTGCAGAGCAACAATTGACATGTCTGCGCTAGTTTTGTTAAACTACTACGCATGCGTCTAGAAAAATCTTGACCACGCCCATATTGCTTTTGTCGCAGCATTTTTCTCATCAGCCAATAGCAAACGAGCTTTTATGTCACGGCTCCCAAATATGGCAAACAGCCGTTAAAAATACCATAAAGTAGTACGTTTTCAAAAACACACATTGTCCAATTCGAAAGTAGACGTGGCCAAAAAAATGGCCGTTGACTTTAAAACGTTCGTGTAAATAATTTAGTTACGAAACAACGCGTTATTTAAGCTAGTAGCCATTTTAAAGTAAAAGAACAGATTTATGTTCAATAACTAGTTTGCCTAATCGAAAAATTGCTAAACACGAATGGAAAAAACTTTACAAAAGATCGGACAAAAAAGTTGACGTATTAATAACTTTTACAGGTTATTACTGTATAGTAATCAAAAAGCATAAACTTGGTATAAACTTGTTTAAAAAAAGCTTTGTTCTATCGTACTATGGTTTCGTTTCGCGGAAGACAAAATAACGAACGCATCAACCTGCAGCTAAAGCAATACTTATCGCATCCATGCTCTAGTCTTGTCGACGTAGCGAGTGAGAAACAGTATGGCGGCGTCAGTATTTATACACACCGGTGATTCGGTTAGCTCAAATATCATGTGTTCATCCGACAAGAAGTTAGTACCTCCTGAGGACAACGATTTTGTATTTTTAAGTCTAGTTTGAACCATAACATCAGTGTATTGAGGTGAAACAACAAACGGAGTATTGTTCAAAATAGCACAGATAGAAAAATGCAGTACTCGAACAATGGTTAGGCAGCATGTAGTAAACAGCATGGAAAAATGACAGTATTCTGTGTAAATTTCACTCTGTAAACAAACAAAATATAAAATACTGATCTCAAGTTTGTCCAAATTCATACTGATAGAGTAAGACGCTATTGTCTGAGTTCGTATTATGATTAAATCCAGCTCCGTCGACAGAAAATTCAAATAAAAACAGCTGACGTCACAGTAACGGCTGCGCGGATTAATTCACTAGTTTCCAGAGTCATGCAAACCGGATTAAACCAGAATGGGTTCGAATTGTCGGATCTACTTTCCCCTTTACTGCATGGTGCGCAGTTTGTGATTAAAGAACAAAAGAAAGCAGCCAACTCATCTTTTTATCTTAGATAAGCTGTGTTCAATATTTCCTATAAAAAACGGATGGTGCTTGCAGTATTTATGTAATTATGAAACGTGCAGCTCTGGCTAAAAATAGTACAGTTCATTAAGTAATAAGCTTTTATAATTAATATGGTGATACCGTCTTCGAAGAAAGTGAACATTCCGTTTAAGAAAACTAGAAATTTCCAGAAACATCTGTGTGGTGGTGGAAAATTACCAGGCCACGACAGAGGCTGGTGCTGTTTACCAGCAGGGGGTGTAGTGCAAAGACGTGCAGGGAGTCACGTCTCACAAAGATTGTGCTTCTGTTTCTCGCTTGTTTTTACCCAAAGAGCTGGTTGTGCTGATTACGAAATCCAAAACCAGTTTGGACATGCTTTCTTTTGCAGCTATGTCTGATCAGGAACTGTAGGGAGTTGTCCTGAGTTTCAGCCCCATCACAAACCAAATTGATCTTTTTGTCTGCTAAACAGGGTGTTGTCAAAGTCACACACAGAGACTTGTTCATGTGATAATCAAATCAAAGTAGGAATTTTCAGCCAGTATGATAATCAAGACCGTCCAGCGGTTACTTGCAAATTACTTTCATTGTATAGAGAATTCTCACTATTAACAATACTACTGGTTTGATTGAATTTGATGTGAGTAAAAAGCTTAGAGAATAAATGATGTACTTTATCTGCTTGAGTTTATTTTTGTTAAAGCGTTTCGTCTTTCATCCAGATTTCATCAGTCCGAGGAGCTGCAACAAACTCAGTCTTATAAATGGCGCCTTCCCAAAGTGGGTTAACCAGTTTCATGGTGCTCAGATGGTTTCTGGAGTCTGCCCTCTCCCCCACCGCTTGAGGCAGTCATGGCCAACTTGTTTCCAAATGCTCAGTAACATTATAATATTATTACAATAATACAATACAATTTATACACTATAATTATAATAATTTACAATACAATAATAATGTTTTTCTACCTGGATTATTGAGCATGAATCATGATATTTTTAGTCACTTTGGCCATCTTGGCGTCAACATAACTGGTTTGTTCCACTTTGGAGTAGCTATTGGGGGAAGAATCAGTTTTGTGTTTTGTGTTTCCTTGACTGATGAAGCCTTCTGGATGGAAGGTGAAACGTTTCAGCACCAAAAAAAAAAGAAACTGTCCAGATGACCTGACTGAAAATTGTTGGATTGTATACCTGGTTTATTGAGCATGAACTTTGTTGGTTTAGCACCATATCGTTTAGGCTATTGACTGTATTATAGCAATTCTGTGTTGTTGTTGTTTTCGGTCAGTTTGTTGCAGCTGCCTTCATGAATTGGGATGACTCCAAAGGGTTAATCAATTGAACATCACATGATTATTTCCTGAGATTTTCATTATACTATCAAGTACTTCATGAGATAATTTGCTTAAAGACAGTTAGAGTGTACTCTAAACAGTTAATGGCAAGAGATTAGTACAATCTGTCAACAGTTGGAATATGGGTTGGGGAGCTCTCTCAGATACTACCACACCAAATGTTGGGTCAATATCTGTAAAATTGACTGAGCTAAAGCTTCTTTTTTTAAGTTCTGTGGCAGCATCTCTGATCAAATGTAGAAGTGCAACCAATGATCTCTTTCTGTATGTTTGAATTGGTTAATCGAGCCTCTGGGACTCATTTATAAGAGAGATCTGAATAAATTATCTGAATAAAATTAGTCCAGTGGTTCATGACATATTTTGGCAACAAACTGACACACAGACTCACAGATATGGGCAAAACACTGTCATCCACCTTTGACCTTTCTGCAGTGTGCAGTAATTATTTATGGTAGTTGACAAATCCATCCAATCATGTGACATTAAGGTCATATTGCCTGTAAATGTAATTATACTGGCTTTGACTGCATGATTGCAGGAAGCTTCCTAAAATCAATATGTCAACAGAGGACAGTTCAATGGCTTTGACTGGACAAAAATTTGCTTTTTAAAAGTTATAGCAAGAACAGGTTAAACAAAATATCAGTAAGCAAAAACATGTTGCATAAATTTACATAGTATAGTCAAATACAGGATAAATGAAAACAAACAGGACTGTACAGTTTATCACTTGGTTTAAACAACATGGTATTGATCCTTTGTCCTCTGTGAGGACAAAGCTTCCGATCTTTTTGTTGGTTCGATAAGCACCCAGCTGTTCAGGCATCATGAAACTTCTCCCCCCATCCAGGAAGTTATGTTCTCCTGTCCACAAGCTGAAATTCTTTTATTCTACAGCTGGATGCTGGCAGAGACAAACTTCTTCATCTGGAGAGACACACAAACAATCAAACAGCTGCATAGTTTGGTTTTCTTTGGGAGAATTAGGCCTGTATTTTCTCTACAGAGTACTTTGTGGAATAATCTTTAGACTGAAGCTACAAAATAACAATTTTTTTAACAATATTTTTTGTGACGAGAATGGTTTTAAACAGTAGCGTTGTAGTCTTTGGGGTTACCATAGTTAAATAAGTTGTTCTTTACAAGAAAGGAGTGCAACATCGGCAAAAATCAAAAAGAAGTTCAACAAGATCTACTTGTTTTTAGGGGGTCAGCATCGACAGCCTGGGAACGTGGGAAAAGACAGGTGATGGAGAACCTTTTTAGACCCGTTCACAAACCGTCTCCATCGGATCGAATCAAACAGCAGAGGAACCAACACCATCATGAGTTTTACCATCACCAAGAGACACATTCACCAAGGTAGGATGGCTTCTTCTACTCAGAGAAAATTTGTATAGGAAAAAGCCAGATAAATATTCTTTAATTTCTTTATTTTATAAAGTTCATATATACATATGTACAAATAGTATAAAATGTAAATGCTTTAATTTTTTTTTAATGATCTAGGTATACAACTGATGATGATGACAGGAACACTGACGATAGTCGCAAACATCATCGGCACCACCAGCACAATCATTATCGCTATGGCAACCCACGCCGGGATGTCCACTGTCCTCATCTGTTTCTCCACAGTGAAGAAAGTGACCAACTTTACAACCATCGCACTTCTGTAACTCTTTCCAGGGCCTCTTCCTCTTCCATTTCCTCCAGCTCTTCCGCCTCTTCCTCGTTCACTGAGGCAAGTTCAAATGAGCCCTTCTCTCTTCATCATGCTGAGCGGCCACAGCATTCCCTGTCCTGCTCCAATATCTCTGAAGTGCGCAAAGCTTTAATGGAGGATGAGAGCAGTGAGCCCGTTGTCTTTGCTACTATCAAGCACAGCAAAAAAGACAATGTTGTTGGCAAGTTGCGCAATGACCCACACCCTGATTTTTCCTACCTCAACCGAGGTCACAGTCGAAGTGAAGAAGGCCTTTTGCCAACTATCAAAGGGGACGTTGGAAGAGAACGATCCAAAGAGTCGCAAATGAACTATGGGGCCTTGTACAAGACAACTAGTCTGAACCGAAGCTTGGCTTTCAGCGAGGAAGACATTCTTTTAGGGGTTTCCAGTGGGCCCAAGAGGGCTGTTTCTTCCAGCATGTTGCCCAGCAAAGGTATTTTAAAAAACAAGATCAATCATACAGACATTCGTAAGGCCAAGTCAATGGAGGTTCTATCCCCAAGAGTCACCAAGGGAGAAGGTCAGAGTGGGCAGAAGAGCAAAGGGATCACACAAGCTGAGATAGAGCAAGCTAAGGCAAACTTTGTCAAGGGAAAGTTACAGTTTTCAGCCTTCTTAGATGAAATTACAAGACAAGTCATGAGTCCATCACATCTTTCCATTTTGGGTGTGAACAGTAATAAAACAACTGGGAAGACACCTGCCTCAGTCCCTACATCTAATTCTGTCAAGCCCCAGCTTCCACCCAAGAAGCACAGAGTGGGAAAAAGGACTGAGACGGCACAGCCTCTGAAGCAGCCAAACAGACAGGACTGCAGCAGCTCTGGAAAAGATTCAGACTGCTCCAATCCTGACAAACTCTTCTCATACACAACTAGGAACCACCGTGGTAGCCCCCCGCCCCATAACTATGCTTCATCTTCCACCCATGGACTTAAAAACAGGAGACCCTCACCAACCGGAGAATCCACGTCAGGGGACAGATATGGCAGATATGGTCCTCACCACATCGATGGAACCAGCACTAGTTCTGAACCAACTCATCCCGAACCAGCTCGCCCCAAACAACGCTACCAGCACAAGTACCAGCAAAGCACCTTCCACAACCGACATACTCAACAGTTCCCTCAAAAGGTCCATCAGGACTCAGGACGCAGAGGTCCCAGCGTTTCCCCTCCACCTTCAGCACAGGAGACAGGAGCAGGTTTTGGATCTGAGTCTTCGTCCACAAAATCAGATCTATCCAGGGGCAGAGAAACAGCCTCCACGACTACCAGTCACAGCTCAGAGCTGAGTGGTCGACAACAGTCACATAACACAGGGATTTCTAAGCAGTACATGGTAAGCTCATTTTAATCACATAGCTACAATTTTTAAACAAAACTCATCAACATGTGAAAGGAACGTGGGCCTTTGATGAGATATAAAAAAAGCCCATACATTTCTTAATGCATAAATTGCGCAATACTTTCATGTGCCATCTATAAAGTGCTAATAAGCAAGCAAACTGTAACGCAAGTCAGTATTGTCAAACCAACTTTATGTACAAAACAAATTTAAAACCAACAAATAGGCCTGTCACGATAATAAATTTTGCTGGGCGATTAATTGTCTCAGAAATGATTGCGATAAATGATAATATTGTTTGAAATTTGACAATAATTAGTAATTACTGTCAAATTTAAGAAGAAATGTTAATTTGTTTTAAGTGTAGTACCTTTTTTTTTACCACTTGATGGCAGTATAAGACTGTTTGAACTGAAGGATGGATAGTGAGGGAGTGAGCAGTGTGGCTCTTTAAGAAAAATGGGAGGGAGGCCCCTTGATGTGACATGGGCTGTCTCTCTTTTCTTTTTTCGGTTCTCAAAACTGCGGATGCTCGGTGTGGTTTGAGCTCTTTAGCTTAGCATTTTTATCACAAAGCTTTTAATAAAATAATCAGTAAACAAGTTATCAGCTTCTTTTTGCAGAGAAAAATAACTTTTTACATGAAGGCACGGGTTTCATCCGTTAATTTTGGAACTTCGACAAGACGGAGGTTTTTTTCCAGAGGTCAGCCGGTTAGCTTAGCTCGTAGCTTAGCTTCTCAGCTTAGCCACTTTTAACGATCCCAAATCGCGATTTTTGGACGGTTAAAACTGATTTTAAAGAGAAAAGAGAAAGGGGTCAGTAAAGAACACCGGAATTGAGCCTTTTGTCATCCAGTGTCCAGTTGAAAGAGAGAGACACGAAGAAACGATAAAGCGATAAATGAAAATCGGGTCGATAATTTTCATTTATCATGCGATTAATTGATTTATTGTTTATCGCGATAGGCCTACCAACAAAAGAAGATCCAACGTACAGTAGAAACAAACTAATTAAAGTGATATCACAGCAGGTTAAAAATGACCAACTCAACGACAAACAAAACAGTTGGAAAAGTAGCTATAGTCAAATCTCACAAAGCTCTGCAGGTAAGGGTTAATCTGTAAAGAGAGGATCTGAACGCAGTGAAAGCAGAGGCCGTGGTGCTGACTCACAGGCTGAGTGGGTTGTGTCAAATTCTCTGCATCACGAGCTGAGTCACAGTAATGCAGCAGATTCCCCTGTACTTTCTGGGGAAGTTTCTCCCAAAACTACCTGACGCTTCACTTTCTGTGATGTTTTGTCGGTTGTGCTTAGAAATGACTGTGAGTTAAGAGTTGAACACTGTGTTGAACCGGTGAGGCTCGCCCCAGTAACACTTTGAGGAAAATAGCTGGTATTGGAGCCATCAGGTGGCTCTTATATAAGAATCTGTTCAGACTCCCCTTCCTTCTCTGTGAGGCAGCCTTATATAAGATTTCTCTTTTTATCAGGTAGTGTCAGATCTGGCCTCACATGACTTGTTCAGCTTTGAACAATCCCACTAACACAGAGGAAAATCCCTGCAGTGCTTTGGACACACGGAGCAAATTGATTTTAACACCATCCGGGCAAAGTTCTCTGATAAATCAATGACTTATTGAATCTGTCATGTCCTCGATAATGTAGCGGTGGATGTGTGCTTGTTTTTTTCCTCATAGCTGCTCTTCTTTTAATTTATTTGCCTCCCAACGTGAAGCTATATGCCACGGACTTCCGTTCTAGCACTTCCGCATTTTTCAGAAGGGCTGCGCACTTCCTGTTTGCTGTCAACACAGTGTTAGTGATGGCGTTTTTCACTCGATCACTGCAGGACTTGCCAACAATATCTGTTAATGATGTCTACAGAATTATTCAGACTTTCTCGAAAGCGCCCACATCTAAAAAGGACAAAGGATTCAAGCTTTATGTGTCCAACTACATAAATAAGTACGAAGGTAAGTCGGTATTTTTTTTTTTCAGTTCACCGAACTGCCTCATGCAGGCTACATATAACACAGCTAACGTAGCTAACCTTGCTATATTGTTGAGTAAACGTGTGTTGTCTGTACAATTTTTCTGATTAACCCAAATATTAGTTTCAAACAAGGAGGCAGGAGAAGTAACAGTTAGGGCTGAGTGTTTCCAGTCAATGAGGAAAAGCCAGAAGCCCCACTGTTTGAGTGTAAGTCAAAACCACCCGACATGTTCTCTACAGGGCTGTGTTTTAAGAAGCTAGTAGGACTTTGATAATTACGGTTGTCTTTTTATAATAGCATTTACAGTTGGTACATTTTGGTCTCTGAAATATTTGGTATTGTACACAGATGGTGCTGAGGGAATCAAAGCCGGTGGAGTTTCAGGGATGTCAGTGCACCTGTGTGGCAGGTACAGTCCTGTGCAGCCATGTGGCAGCTCTGCTTTTCCAGACGGCTCACTACTCCCAGTTGAAGCTTCCAGCTGTTCCTCCAGTCCTAAGCTGCACAGACACCGAACAAAAGTGGCATAAACCGAGGACAATGGTAACTACATATTGATGACTCTTTATTCCTGCTTATGAATTATAGTTCAATACTGTATTTACATCAATGTTGTTTTTGGATGCAGGGCATAAAACCTGGTCCAGTTAAGGACATGGTCGTCCTGTCAGCAAAACCAAGAGAGAGGAAAATCTTTGAAGGAATTAGGTTTGTTTTAATTTAAAGAACACAGACACATGCACAAACACACACACACACATTTTTAAAATTCATTAAATTTACTATCACAACACATGCACAAGAAGTGCATGTTTTGCTGTTTTATGTGCTTTATACATAAAATGTTATGGTATGGTACTTAAGCTTATGTTGTACTATGCCAGAGATAGGTTAAAAATGCAAATAAGTAATTAATCAAACTTCGTTTTTAAACAAGACAATAACTTTATTGCCTAAAATACAACATAGGCTTTATTTAGTATAAATTTCATCATTTGCCTATTAATGTCTTGTTTATGACAAATTTTTATTTTTCTCAACAGAAGCAACTTGTATAAAGGCACTACCAGCCCTCTGCCACTCATCTCGACCCTAAGGATACAGGATGTGTACCGGGGACTTCCAGCTGAAGAAGCGCCAATGATCACCACAATGGCTGTCTCCAACGATGTCCCTCTTGTTGACTCTTTGTTTGGTCCAGTACAAGAGGGAAGTGTTCTGTCATATCAGCTGCCAGCAAAGGTAGTTCCCAGGACCCGTCCACACCAACACGTCCTTTCTCCCCCACAGCTTCCACTCTACAATTACAGGCTTGAACACTCCAGCTGTGCGTATGTATGTTCAGAACAACAGCAACACCATATGATGTCCCTTGAGACAACGTTAGAGATGTCTCACAAAATTGAGAGCAGCACACGGGAGCAGAGCTTCTGTCCAGAGTGGCACCAACTAAGAAAGTGTCGTGTTACTTCAACAAGGTTTAGGGAGGTCTGTCACACCAGGGGTGACAGCTCTTCTGAAAATCTTGCGAAAAGGCTTCTGAGACCCTGCAGTCAAACTGCTGACATGCGTCGGGGGCTTACCCTAGAGCCAACAGCTATAGAGGAGTATTGCAGGGTAAGGGAAGTAAACCACTACCCATGTGGGTTCTTGATACATCCTGACGCACCATGGATGGGGTCATCACCAGATGGAATTATTTACGATCCTGAGGAGCAACAAGTGTTTGGCCTTTTAGAAATAAAATGCCCAAATGTGACAAGCTATGTGGACTGCTCTTACATAATGATTAGGGATGGTAGGCAGACACTCAAACGTACACACCCATATTACTGGCAAATCCAGGGACAAATGCTAATTTCAGGGTGTGACTGGTGTGACTTTGTCATTTACACAGAAAATGACATGTTTATTGAGAGGGTTCCCCGTGACATGCAAGTACTGCAAACCATAAAACAAAAGGTTGACCATTTCTTTTTTTATTTTTACCTCAGCGCTTGCCTGGCAAATTAAGGTAACATAGTCAAATTTTAACCTTTGCATATATGATTGAAAATACTGTTAATACTTGTGTCATGTTCCTTCCATTTATATTATTTTTAAGCAGTTAGATTTATGTATTTCTCTTTAAGGTCAGATACAATTTATTCTGTTTGAAATTAGCTATTAGGCTGTTATAATCATACCCTCTTTGTGAACTGTGTTTTTCTGTTTCAACAGTTTGCATTCACTAGATGAGTGGCATTTTTTGAAAAAAAAAAAAATAAATAAAATAAATTTTTTCATTTCAGTTTTATTAGTACTGTATTTCAATATCCCACTTGATGGCTTGACTTACATGAAAAATGTTATAAAAGAACTGATTTAATGGAAAAAGTTCAGAGAAATTGAAATATTTATGACAGTGATTTAATTTTATTGTAAGTACAAAAAAACAAAATCAAACATAGATATACAGCATATTTTCTTGCTGTTACTCAGATGTCAGGCTTCTTTGCCCAGGCCTTTACTAGTGGGCCATTTTCATAATTTGTGAGTAGACAAGCAACAGTGAACAGTTGGTTGATTATACCAAAAACACCTAGGGGAATTTCAGAGTCAAGTAACTTGTGCTCTTTGACCCGGCGAATGAGGCGCTCCACATGCACCCTGAGACGTGCTATGTCCTGGGTCTCTCTAACATCCTCAGCAGACATCTGAGACCTGCCAGACAGAAATGCTGGCCTGTAAACTTTGCAGGGAACAATGTCATCAATAAGAAAGCCCCTGTCCACCATAACAGCCATCCCTGGTTTTAACAGCGTGATGAGACCAGATTCACGGGTGATCTGCTTGTCACTGATAGACCCGGCATACAGTCCAGAGATGAATGTCACTGCCCCATGAGGTGCAATCCCAATCAGCCCTTTCAGAGTGCAGTGGGATTTATAAGATGAAAACACCTCACTCTGGAGGAGAGGGGAAGATGGGCACTGACACCTCAGCTCAGTGCAGTCAAGGATGACTGTAGTGTCAGGGTAGTGTTTGAAGTCTGCCGGTAGATGTTTTCGTATATGTTCCTCCGGTATCCAGATCCTAATTGAACCTAAGACTGTAAATAAGAAATTGCTCCATGTTGTGATGATCCTGCTGACAGTGGACTGATGGACACCGTACCGGTCAGCAAGATCACGTTGCTTGGATCCAAGGGCAAGGTAATTTAAAAACATGAAAAACTCATCGATGGGCTGCAAAGTACAAGTTGATGGAGTGGAGTCGAGGGCAGTTCCTCTCTGTCCTTGGCGAACACTGACCATGGATGGCAGAGAGGGCTCAATCATGCCCCAGAAATGCATCAGAAGGTCATATGATGCAAACCTGAAAAAAAAAACATACCATAACAATTAGTGTCCATGTTAAACTACACAGCATACTTAAAAATAAATTCAACCCCAGGCACTGTGCTGTAATACTGTAATTAATTTAGAATATAAATACTTATATGGAAGATTGGTATTAGTTATTTGTCATGTTACATTATTCATAGATGACTTGTTTGAATTGATATTTTGAGTTAATTTTGTTTTAAAGAAGGGGCTGATATGATAAGATTATTTCTTCTGCTACCTTTCATTTTATGTATTTTTTTCATGTGGTTTTGTAAATTGTTTTTTTTGGGCTTTAAGTATGAAATGAACACAAAAAATTAAAATAAATGAAATGTATACATACACACAAATAATATACCTAGGCACATAGACACACACACACACACACACATTAAATATAGAGAGAGACAGAGAGAGAGCGAACTTAATTCAAACTGAATTTTTCGCTTTAGCATAGAACTCGTGAAAAGGTTTTCTAAAATAATTTTATACTCTGTGTAACACAAACGCGCGCGCATCCCCCTCCTCACACACACACACCTACCTTGTGAAGAATCTAATGTCCTTGTCGGAGGATGCAAAACGTTGAATGCCGAATCGCTGCCTCAGCGTCAGGCTCTCAACCTGTTCCCGTAGCTGGCGGACTTCCTCCCGGAGATTATTATTTTCCTCCAGCACTGAATCCACAACTGCAGGGTCTGGACTAGCAGCATAATCGTGATCCTTATGGGTGTCTACACTGGCTGTTGTATTATCTTCCTCCTCGCTGTCCTCTGGAGGTGGTCTTTTCCTTCTCTCCCAAACCGCGGGTCTTGGTGGTGGAAGGGAGTAATTATTCCATTCAAACAAAGCAGGTACAGCTCCCTTTTTTAACATCCGTCTTCCCTTTTCGGATACTGGCTCTTGAATGTCCTCAGGTTTGAAATGCCGACTACAAACGCGGGTGTGAACTTTTAAAGCTAAGTTTTCCCTGCGGATAGCCACGGTCCATTGTCGCCTTAACTCCTCAACGGCAGGAAAATGGAAAAAACTAACTACTCTATTGTACCTACTGGTTAGTGGACACAACGGCACACAACAGAACTGACTTGCAGTGCCAGTAGATCGCAGACGCTTTCCGTTTTGAGTCTTTTTCATGGTTACTACTAGTAGCTTATGCTAAAAACAACTGCAGTGGATAGGAGCCGGAAGTGATGGACCCTTCTGAAATTTTAACGGAAGTACGTCACCACTACCCGTGGCATATAGTCTATTGACCTTCAGTGCATTCATTTAGGATCTGAAAGTCATACTTGTTATTCCTTTCAGTGGGCGTGTTGAGAAGCTCCAGTTTACTACAGGTCACACTGTTCTTGGGTGGTGACAGTATTTTTCCCTCTTGAACCTCTTCCAACACACTGGAATGCAAAATTAACAACACTATCTGTGGGGTTGAAGTCCTCCGCAACTGTGCTGCAGGAGTGCCCATGTCGTTTACGTCCAATTTTGTATTTAAAAGACACCCCTCATGTTATTTTATTCTTTATCAAACGTGCTAGAGTACAAAATACTTCATTTGAATTTAACTATATATTCTTGTTGTATTTCAACAATATCCTCATGTTTTCATGCCGTTTCTCACCTACTCTTTGTATTGTTCAATTTGTTCTAGGACTTGCTGTGCGATCCTGACGATTTTCAGTAAGTGTTGGTTTTATTTTCCGTCTGAGTGTTTTTTAAATCCAGATTTGCACATATTTCTCTCTGTGATGAGTCAAAGTGTTACTCAACTTTCTAATGAGCCTCCCTCACCCTCATTGGTTGTTTAAAGCAGTGGACCATCTCCTTGTTGTCGTTGAATTGTGCACATGTCATGGAACTTAAAGAAATGCAAAAAAAAAAAAAAAAAGCAACAATGAAAAACATCTAGGCTGATTTAAATCAACATATAAACTATGAAAACCTAATTTTGACATTAATTATAATATTTGCCACAGATTTACTTATTTTGCATAACTCAAACTCACACTTTTGTAGGGTTTTGATTGATGAACATATGTATTTTAGGACTTAATGTGATTTTAATTCAAATAAAACATTGGTTTGGATCTAAAACAAAAGCACTAAAATGTCTTAAATACTTTAGGCCTAGCATTCCTTGAAAGATCACATATCCTTCGCCGACTAAAATCATCTTATTGTGAAAAATCATGGGTTTATAGCTGTTTTGGTCAAACCTTGTAGATTATGTTCTGCACAATCTCACGTGAAATGTGTTAGCTCACGTGTCATGGATGCCTCTCAGCTACATCAAATTTCAGCTTAATGTCTGTAAAATGACTGCCTTGTATAGCTATTTACTGTATGTGGATTCTAAGTATGAAAAGCCGTGGCAGCCATCTTGAATTGGGCTGGCTCCAAAAGTATATGAGATATAGATGTGCAACCAATTCTGAGAGTTCAGCGCACAGACAAACATTGTCTACATCAATGATTAATGACAAAGTGTTCAGCACAGACAACATGAAGAGCTCAGAGTATATATTCTGAATGACTCTTAGCTACCACCCCAAATCTGAACTCATTATCTGTTTAACCGATTGAGTTTTAGCCTTTTTTTGTGTGTTTCCAAAGATCAGTCGACTGTAGCACTTTTGAAGCAGGTTGAGCTCTTCAGGTTTATTTCTTAACCTTTATTTAACCAGGCAAATTCCATTGAGATCACAAATCTCTTTTGCAAGGGAGGCCTGGGCCTGAAGGCAGCCTAACATGCATGTTTTTGGTCTGTGGGAGGAAACTGGAGTACCTGGAGAAAACCCACACAAGCACGAGAAGAACATGCAAACTCCACACAGAAAGACCCCAGGTCCAACCGGGGATTGAACCCAGGACCTTCTTGCTGTGAGGCAACAGTGCTAACCACTGAGCCATCATGCTGCCATGCTGTTTATTCAATTTCTGCAAGTTTCATTAAAATGTGTCCACTGGCTCACAAGATGTTTTGCTAACGCTACAGACAAAAGTAAAAAAGTGATCAGCCTTTTGTTTTTGGTCAAAATAAAAAAAAGTTATAGATGGTGTCTGGACATAGGTGGATCCACACATCCCTTTTCAACCAAAAGTCTGTATTGCTCTTTTTTTTTTAAGAAAAAGAAAAAAAAAAAAACTGTGCACAAATTCTCGGCTGACAATGTTTTCGTTATCCTTCAGTTTATTACCAAGAAAAACTGTAACACATACAGGTATGTGTTTTTCGGGTGAACACACAGCAGCAGATATCTTTGGTGAAGATTTAAGACTCTTTTCCTCTTCCTTTCTCCGTGCTCAGGGCGTTGCAGGAGGAAAACGCAGATCTGCACCAGAACCTGCTGCAGACTGTGGTTTGCATCGAGAGCCTGGAGGCAGAGCTGCAGAGAACCAGAGACGAGCTCAGCCACGTCAAGGACAAATACAAGAGGTGACTCCTAAATGTTTGCAGAACACAGGCGTACACTGGTTTTGTCCTTTTTTGGGGGGGAGGGCCTGAACGACTGCCCAGTGAGCAGTTCCAAACATTCCTCTGCAGACTGCAGCAACAGGAGGGAATGGCTCCCTCACACTGAGCTCTTGTTGGGTGTATCGAGTTGCACATTCATCACAAAGCTCTCTGTTTGCCACTTGCTCTCACAAACAGCTGCATAAAACTGTCCTGAATGATTACTAGGTTCCTTTTTGTTTCCAAAGCCTTCTGCAGACTCACACTGGGACCATGCAGGCCGATAACCTGCTGGGGGAGCACCTGCACATCGCGGTGAGGAGATGAGCATGAGCTAATTGTGGATAAAATAATAAAATGAATGCACTTTAATGCATGTGTGTGTGTGTGCAGTCTGAGAGTCTGAGCAGTGAAA